AGTAGTATCTGTTGATTGCCCTCACTTGTTCTGTTGTTAGGTACAGATGCAGACACAGATACACTGGTGTTCTTTTTGTTAATTTCATTAGGTATCAGCAAGAGGAGGACAGCCACTGGCCTTTATTGTGCCACCACAAACAGGATTCCCCCAGATCACACAGAACGTGAGAGTAGCCCCCGTTAGAAGGAAGAAGAGAAAAATGAAGAACTCCTGGGCTTTAGTGAGATTACTCTACAGTGGTATATAGGAAAGAGCCTAAAAAATACAACAATGCATGGTTATTATGGGAAGAGAAGGTGGAATACCACAAAAGTGTCCATTTCCCTACATTTAATCCATAAACAGTAAACAATCCCAATCAAAGCCAGATGGCCCTATCATGATGATAGCAACTGACACTTGGAGCCCTCACTGTGGCACTATTTGCGTCTCATTCAACAGCAGAAAGTTATCATTATACCCACATTACAATAGGAAACATAGAGAAAGAAAACAGGATTTGCCAGATAATCCCAATGTGGCAACAGTAACAAGGAGAAGGCTGAATTTTCTTTTTCATCTCGTGATGGTCTGGGAGTTGTACTGAAGCAGACCCTCTCACAGATGCTCCTTAGAAGCCGAGCGGTACGAGAGGAAGCACTGTAGTTGTGTCATTCTTACACATCCCAAGACTGCTCTCCTGCCCGAGAGCAGAGGGCAGGGCTGCTGACCTCACGTGGCCACTACTGCCCAGAACTCACCCTGCAAAATGCCCAATGGTGAGTAAAAGATCCAGAATCAACACCCAAAAGTAAAAACTGGAGTAAGTGTGGTGATGAGAAAGTGGGGAGCAGGAAGTTTAAGGTCTGTGCTCAAGAAAGAAGTTTAGGAAACAGGAAGTTTCCTGTCAAACACTGCAGGTGTCAGGGATGTTGAACCTTATGAATGAAGGCAGCTGAAAATTGAGAAACTAGCCCAATAGTCTGGTAGGGCTACATCTGAGACTACCATGTCTAGAAAGAGAAGCATCCAGAATAAAGCACTATTGCCAGGAAAAAAAAAGTGAGGACCACAATCTCTAAGGCTCAAGGAAGATGCAATCATTTGTGTTTTGAGATAAGAGATGTGTTCGAAGGTCTGTGGGCGAAGGAGAAGAAGCCAACAGAAAGGAATACGCTGGTGGTGATGGTAAAGTCAGAGTAACTGGTGAAGCAAAGCCTGCAGTGGTCTGACATAATACTATCTGATATTGTCACAGTGCTTTGCAGCTTGCAAAGCACTTTCCCATCACAAATCTCTCTACAGCCTCCTGATCCAACCTCCTACATGTCTGGGGTACTTTTTTTTTTTTCTTCTTCTTTTTTATCTTTATTGTATTCAATAATTGGGTCATTTCCATATTAATATAAAGATAAATATATTTACACTTAAATAATCTGTGTAAACACCCATTCAGATTGGTGTGGGGTACTTTTTACTCCCTTCTTCCTGCTTTACCAAATAAATCCATGCTAAACTTAAAAAAAAAAAAAAAACAACTCCCTTCTCTTATCCTTATTACTTTCCTAATTCTGTGAGGCAGGTTAACAACAAGAATGAATGCCTAATTTCACTTAAGGAAACTGAGGCCCAGAAGTTGTGACAGTCCAAGGCAGACTGGAAAGGAGGAGTTCTGGGCTTGGAGTTAAAACATTGGCTCCACTTTTTTCTGATTCTGTGCTTTCAGCAGCTTGCTTGGCTTTAAGGGGAAGAGCAACAGTTTCATCACCAGGAAAATGGGAATAGTACTTCTCAGGCTCCAAGGCACAAAGACAGCATGGCATGGCTGCTGGGGAAAGGCCAGAACCCAGTGAACTGCAGCCCTTTTATTATCATGATTAGAAAGCAGCACAGGTAAAGCAAACCACAGAGAGGTTCCTATCTAGCTCCTTCCTCCTGCTCAAAGCTGCCTCTGTCTATAATGGAAGTGCAGGAAGCACTCATCAGCTATGTGCTAGTGTCAAGCAACACTTCCAGGTAGAAAGAGTGAGACTCTGTAACCACTGGGGTTAGCCTAGGCAGTAAGGGAGCAGGAGCACCAACACAAGGCTATGGCTAACTCCAGCAGCAGCCCAGAGAGGGCTAAAGTACTACAAAGAGGGGGCCCTGGAAGGATGAGGCTCCTGGTGGAGAAAGAAGACGCTGTGCAGAAGAAAGAGGGGTATCCAGGACTCCAGGGATGGAAAAGGGTGCACAGCTCAGTCAAGCTCAGACTGCTCTGGACCCTCTCAGCCACCTCACACTACCTGCACTTGTGTGCATCTTCACACCCTTAGGGAGAGACAGAGAGCAGGTAGGTTAAAAAAAAGTCTAGGGTACCTGTAGCCATGGGAGTCAGAGAAAAACTTTCCTAAACAGTACAGATTAGCTGCAGAGTTCACTGCAAATCCTGATTAACAGAATCCACACTAAACACAGTACAACTCATCACGTCCTGGAATAGCAGGAAGATGAGTCACCAGACTTGACTAAGGGGAGAAAAGATGCTAACTGCACCCTGAGGTGCCACCAGCAGGCAGGATCCGCACAGAGAGGCTGGCACCACATCTATGACAGCAGACACCTCTACTTGCAACTCTCACTCTCATTCAGCTTTTCTGCTGTAGGAAGGATGGGGTGGGAGATGCTGCCCTGGGTCCTGGGGTGGGATTCCCCAGTGGGAAGGAACAGGTAGCAGCTGAGAGAAAAGAAGGCAGGATTTTCTCCCCAGGATTTTCATCTCCAAGGACGATGAAAGGCAAATGGCCTTGATGACAGCTGCCCAGGGCTTTCCCAGTCCCTTCCAAATGTCCAGACCAGCCACCTCAGCCCCCTCCCTAAGCCACAGAAGCTCCTGGAGAAATCACCACCCCTACTGTGCAGAACAGAGAGGCAACTGTTTCTCCTAGCACCAGGTTTCCCTGAGCAAGCACCTGACCCTTTGGTGTCACAGCCTATTAGGACAACTCTGGCATTATCCACCATGACTGCAAGGGACTGAAACACCCTAAGTCAATGAACACTAAATCGTAGACAGCACTTTCAAAACAGAAAGCCAAAACTACTTACTGCTCATTTCAGAAAACTGTTAAATCCTTATTTGAAAATTGGTAATTAAAAAGGAAGATGTCCTAATTCATATAAGGGCTATAATGTTGAACCCTATAACACTATAGGGGATCTGTATGCATTCATACTGCCAATAACACCACACAGGTCAGTCTCCAGCTGAGAAGGAAACCCCAACTGCAGGATGCAGAGGTCAGGAGGCCCCACTCCATGTAGGACTCAATCTCAGCACTGCCAGTGGTGGGTAGGGGGTGGAACAGATAATCTAGGATTGCTGGTGTGATATGAGAAAGTACACAGCATCCCTACAAGTGACCCTAACAAAAGTGGGAGATATTAAACACTGAGTCTTTCACTTTAGCCCCTCACTTACAGGACCCATAGCCAGTGAGGACAACTTTGAAATGACACCACCACAAGGAAACAGCCAGATGAACCAGAAGGTGGGAAACTACAAGGCAGATGGTAAGGTCTCTTCTGTAATTATGTTGATGATATGAAAGAGACATCAGGTATGGGAACTGCTGTAGTAGACTTAGCACACAGAAAAGCCAAATCAGCTGTGTAGGGTTTGAGGGGACCTTGATTCCAAAAAGCTGACTAGGAAGAAGTGGACCCGATACACTGCAGTTTGGATCTGCAATGTCCTCCAAAAGGCTCATGTGTTGAAGGCTTAGCCCCAGCCCATGGCACCACTGGCAGACTGTAGAACCTTCAAGATGTGGGGCCCAGTGGGAGGAAGCTAGGTCACTGGGGCATGCCCTGAAAGGGGATGTTGGGACTCTGTCCTACTGTCCCTCTCGTTGCCTCCTGGCTGCCATGAGGCTAATATCTCCTCCCATATGTGCCCCCCACCTGATATGCTGCCTTTCCACAAGCCCAAAATCAGTGAAGCCAGGGACCATGGACTAAAATCTCCAAAAGCGAGCAAAACTGAGCCCTTCCTCCTTATTAGTTGTTTATCCAGGCATTTTGTTACTGCAGTGGAAAACTGGCTAACACATACTATAAGAGAAATATGAATATAAACTAGATATCAGATGGTGACAACCAACTGCTATTATATTAGGTGATAATGATATTGGAGTGATATAAGCTGTCCATGTTCTTTAGAGACATGATACGTACGTAAGACTAAGATGCCAGGAGTTCTAAGGTTTACTTTAAAGTACTTTAGTAACAAGAAAGGAGGGAAGGGAGGAAGGGAAAAAAACGGAA